CGCAGGGGTCCCCACCCCACAAGTCTCTAAGCGCCCTGCCCCCTCCGCCCCCCACCCCCGCACACACAGGATCCTGGAGTTCCCGCCGGGCCTCTTTCCCACGCGCCGGCTCCTTCCCCGCACTGCCCCACCATCTCCTGTCCCCCCTTGCCCTCCATTCCCGCAGGTTCCCGCCGGCCCCTTACCCTGTTGTCCCCGCGGGTGCCTGGACTACCTGGCGGATCTGCTGCAGGAGCGCGGCGGGACGCTGGACCGCGACTGGGGGCCTCCTCCTCCCCGGTCCGCAGCGTCGCCGGCCGAAAGGAGCCACGGCGGCCGTCGCGTCTGCCCTGGAGACCCCCGTGCTCCGGCCACACACTCGCCCCTCTTCCTGGGTCGGTAGAAGCCAGCTCCAGCCCGACCTCACCCGCCACTAGTTCCGGAAGCTGGGAGCGGCCTGGGAGGAGGAATATGTGTGCGGAGCCGATCCCGCGTCCCTCCTCTCCACCCGCCCCTCCTGGAATCCCGGCTCTCGTCCTCCGCGCACTGCGGCGAGAGCGAGTCCCTGGCCCCCAGCCCTCTTACTGCAAAAGTGCATGGCCCGCCGGAGGAGGCGGAATCCGCTTGGCGATGGGATCCTGACCTCCTGCTACGGGCACCATCTCCAGCGTAATTTTTCACTCCCCCAAATCCTTGTTAATATTTACACTGTATTTGGCTTAGGAGTCTATAAAGTTAGAGAAACCTAGGTCTAAGTTTAGACTCCAGGTACTGGGGACATGCGGTGACAGTGCAAGACGTGCTGCTGGCGTGCACACTGAGCACCCGTCGGCGCTTGCGTGTCTAGCAGCCCTGGGCGCTTAGAGCCCGTCATTCTCTGATGCAAACCCAGGACTTGGGGTTTCATTGGCCCTGGAATCCGCATCTCGGTCCATTTTGGAAGAATAATGGGATCGGCCTAATGTTCACAGTCAGAGCCCCAGCGCCAGCCCAGGGTCTCAGTGTGCCCTCACGTGGCAAAATAGTAAGGACTTCCTCTCCACCGCCGACCTGCGGGCGACCCTGGTGATTAGTCCTGGGAGGTGCCAGACCGCGCAGGAGCCAGGTCCTCCTTCCCAGCACTGCGCCTTTAAGGCTCGGCCCCTCCCCCTCAGGCGGGGCCTTTGCTTAGCAACAGGACGCCTGCCCGTAGCCAAGGCTGCTGAAAGCGGGTTTCCAGTGCAAGCTGCAGAATGTCTGAGGCAAAGCCCGGAGAGTGTGGGGAACCTGCGGAGCTCAAGGCCAAGGCCACTGATCCCCAGGAGAAAACCAGCGACTATTACCGCGTGAGCGCGGACCTGCCGGTCAGGTTCAACCACCCGGGATGGTTCCGGGGCTACAGGTGAGCAAAGTGCTGGATGGTCAGGGTGCACCGGGCATGCCCAGAGGAGAGGCTGCTTTGGCCAGCGGCCCGGCCCTGGCGTGTAGTGCTTAGAAGGTCCTGTGGGTGACAAACCCCCAAGTTTCTGACTGCAGAAAGGTCAGCTCCCCTAAAGCCTCAGACCACCCAGAAATGGGTGTGGAGCAGGTCAGGAGAGTGGGAGACCCTGGTGGGAGTCAGGCACCCCAATTCTGGCTCCAGAATTCCCCATCCATCTTGTTGTTGAGAGTCAGTGAGCCGCGTGCTGTGACAGGGCACTAAAAACTCAGAAATAAAAAGAAACCCTGGGTTATGCTTGGTGGGTGTGAGCACCCCGTTGTCCTCTGCACAACCGAATGGGGCTGGGCACCTTAGTGTCCTTCTCCAGAAGAGACCACTGCAGTGTAGAAGCTGGCAGCTTGTCGGAGACCTCATGGTTCAAAACAGAGTTGGTGTCTGAACTCACATCTTCCTGCTG